CCCCCCCCCCCCCCCCCCCCCCCCCCCCCCCCAAGGCTGCCGTTTCCTCTTACCCCGACAACAAGAAAAAAAAAAAAGTGAGAGAGACAGAGAGAGAGAGCGTGTGTGGTGGGATTCACATGCCCAGAACCAGATTACCAAGATGAATTGCTGACATTTCGGAGGCGAGAATGTTGAAGGCACGATTTCTTTTTGACATGTGGCTCTCCGCTCCCGCTCTCTCAAACTCTCTTTTCTCTCTTCTCTTCTCTCTTCTCTCTCTTCTCTCTCTTCTCTCTTCTCTTCTCTCTTCTCGCTCTTTACTTCTCTCTTTCTCAAACCGACCAAACCAATTCATTTCTTCTCTCTCTCTCTCTTCTCTCTTCTTCTCTCTCTTCTCTCTCTTCTCTCTCTCACTGCTCTCTCTCTCTTCTCTCTCTCTTTTCTCTTCCCTCTCTCTGATATTTTTGCCTCTGGAAATTCAGTGGGACCGTCGCGATGGCAGCGAACAAGACGTTGCGTGCCGTGCCGCTAACTTGTAGTGGGCACACCCGTCCCGTGATGGAGATTGCCTTTAGTGACATGACCGATGAGGGCTACTTTCTAGCCTCTGCTTGCAAAGGTTTGCAAAAAAAAAACTTGCTCGCTACCCGTGGCACCCCCTTGTCTCGCTCGCTCATGGCGCATGCTCTCGTAGATTTCAAACCAATGCTGCGCCGCGGCGAGACCGGGGACTGGGTCGGGACTTTTGAAGGTCATTCGGTTCGTGTTTGGTGCATACAACTCGTCTGGAAAATTTCGAGGCAAAGAAGAAAAACATCAAGCGGTCAAGGGTCTTGTTTCTGCCCTTCTGCTCTCTAATGTGCTACTGTCTTTGCTCCTTGGGAAACAGGGCGCGGTCTGGGGCGTCGCCATCAATCACGATGCATCGCTTGTAGCCACGGCTGCCGCTGACTTTACCGCGTAAGTATATGTCGCCCATCATTGGGCCCTTTTCCGGTGTACCGCGCGTACCTGAGTTCACGTGGGACGGGACTGTCTCACCTGACTTTAACAGGAAAGTTTTTGACGCCGTTACGGGTGCCATGTTGCTGGAGCTGAGTCACCCGCACATTGTCAAATCAGTTGCCTTCAACCACGTGCGTGCTCGTGAATGCTGCACTCCAATGACCCGTCATGCACACCTATAGACTCCTTCTTTTGCCCTTGCCTCAAGCCATGGTATCCTCACAAACGCTGCGTGCCCTGCAACCAGGACTCGACGCTGCTGGCCACCGGATGCAACGATGGCCACATTCGCATCATGACCCTTGCGCGTTCCAATACCAGTCTCGCTGCTATCAATGAAGAAAGCTTCAAGCTTCACAAGTCGCTGATTCGCAAAGTCCTCTTTGTCGGCGAGAACAGCGAGTACATTGTGAGCGGTGGCGATGAAGAGCACGTTTGGTACGCCACGGCGTATCTCGCTTCGGGGTGCCGACGACTCTGATCATCCTCGACCATGCAAAAGAACACCATCGCCCTTTTCTCACTCCCTCGCCTTTTTGCTCGTTTTCTGCTGCACAGTATTTTCAATTGTAGTACGCAAACCACGACCACTGTAGCACTTCCTGCCAGCGTCAAAGACATCTCTTTGATAGATGGGTATGTGCTCTACCACTTGCTTGGCTGCCTTGCAAGCACGTGCTGGTGGCTACCCACCTTGCCTCAATTTTCATTTTCATGGTCGCCAGGTTCCCTACGCACATCCTGGTCGCCACTGGCCCTTCAATTGCTCGAATTGATGTGACAAGGTAGGTGGAACGCCCGTCACCTTCCCCTTGTCGAGGAGATGACTTACTGCTGGATTTTCCAGCGCTGTTCGCCCGCTTGATTCTGCCTGCCTCTGCCAAGCTCATGCCGTTGCATGTCTATCCTGCACCAGTGCCAGCGTCATTTGGGAACACAAACCCGAGACACCTGCGCTTTCCGCAGCCTTGGTCCCTGCCCTGGATCGCCTTGTGTGGGTGGGCGAAGCCAATTTGGTGGTCGAGTGCACCGCCGATGGTACCGTGCAACACCAACACAAGGCCCACTTTGGAACCATCCACTGCGTGCGCTTCAGCCCAGACCACCAGCTCTTCGCAACCTGTGCCGAAGACAGCACCATCCGCCTTTGGCCCACATTTGTGGGCAACAATTACGGTCTCTGGCAGTATCAACAGTAGTGTGTGATGCCTGGCGTCAGCACGCCTCTTTCGAAAAGCACAACTCAACCCCCGACCAGCCCCAAACGCACTTGCACCTTGCCTCTCCCTTGCTTCCCTCCTTCCCTCCCCATTCAACCTTGGATATGTGGGCGCAGCGCGCTCCGCCAATCACCTCTCCTTGGCACCCATTGTAAGCTGAAATTGACTCGTGTGATCTGAGCTGGCGTTGCAGTCTTTATCTTGATTGTCCCATGCAGAAGCCAAATGTGCATGCCACAGAGCGTCCACAGTAGGCATCAACAGGCCTGAGCTTTGGGCGCCATGGCTTACAAAACATAGTTTGACGCAACTCAAAAGGTCTGGGCTGACAACGATGCATCGACAAGCACGCGACAAGCAAGCCAGGCCAAGTGTGCCAGTGCTGGATGAGCGGTCGGCAGCTCAACATTACCCTCAGTTTGGCGCGCTCCGGCCGCTCAGCGCAGCCACAGGTGTGCATGCACGCGATTGCACCCGCACCACGTCCCCAGTGTGCAGCATGCCTACATGAAACCATTGTCCACCAGGACGGTCCGGTTACTTGGCATCAAGTGCCAGCTCAACATGTCGCCACGCCCTTTCAATAAACATACCCGCTCGTGCAACGGCGACGGCATTGGCGCCAAAGTAGGGCGTGTTGTTGTGGTCACGGTAGGTCTTCAATGTCAGTGTGGGCTCCTGGTCTGGATCACGGGTGCCCGTTTCTTGGTTGACGGTGGGCATGGAGCACCGCGAGCACGGCTGGGCATCACATGGTTACCAATAATACGGCAGTGCATTGTGAGAACGATACTAAAACAGCTTCTGCTCCATACGCCTCATTCGCAGACACATTTCTCAGAGGTTGGAGATGACACGTACCTTGCACGCCTTCATGGGCAGATGCCCTATCGTCAAATCGTACCACCAGTCCTCCTCGTGGGCTTCGCAGCCATCCACCACGACATTTGGCCTGATTGAGTTCAGAGAGTGACACACATGAAAAGGTTTCGAATGAGTTGCGTTTTGAGCTTGTTACACCCGAACCCCCGCCCCCACGAAAACACACGCTCAAGCGCACGCCAGCACCTGAAGCGATCCCAGTTCAAGTGCAGATCGTTGTTCCACTTGTGACGCAATTTGCTATTCAGCTGCTCGAGTGCAGCTTCACTGCCAATCTACGCCCCGCGCGACTGAGAGTAAGGCGCAGTACAATCGTGTCAATAGGAGAAAGACGAGATTCTTCTTCTGCTCCACGACAACTGACCAATAGAGGGTAGCCGTCCGCGAAACGCAGGGTGCGCTCCTCCTCAGTGTAGAATCTAAATAAAATTGACACCCAGGCTCAGTGTTAGTTGAGGGTGACTGGCTCAAGCAGATCTTCATCCTTGGCGGGCCAGATACGGCATGTTGACTGCGTACTGTGGCGAGAGCTGACGCGCTGTGGGGATTGACTCGACAAGCATGACGGGAGACCCCAAGACTTGGCTAAACCAGGCATCGCTAAGACAATTCATCATGCGGCAAACCCAGCCAAGGAGCCATGAGAGTGAGCCCAATTCATGGAGGTGATGAACAACCTGCACAGCATGAAACCAAACAGTGGACAAAGAACCTACTGTTCGACACTGACGTGCAGCGCCCGTACAGTATCCCCCCAAATGATGCAGTCCAACTCGCGGCGCTGCGTTGACAGCCGTGGCCGGCTCACGTTGCTGGGTGTAGCATCATCTGCGTGCCACGCGTCATGAGCAATGCAAAAGATCGAGCAGAGTGTCATTTTGAATGCAGAAGAAAGAGTGGTGCAGGTAAGGTCGGCGACAACCTACGAGCATGGGCCTGTGGCAGAGCAATGTCCTGGGCATCAACGTGGCCCAGAGAAATGGGTGTCATGTCTGGAGCTTCGGCCAACAATTCATGGTTGCAGAGTCGCATGCGAATCAATGCCTGGACAAACGAGGGGTGGGGGATAAGAAAGGAGTGCAATAAAGATTGCGGTTCAGCTCAAGCCAAGCCATGATGAGTCGCAGCAGCAACAAAGCTCACGGCGCAGCAGGCGCACTGACC